AGTGATTCTGTCCTCCTCTTGTGAAGTTAGAGGAGGTTAGAGGATGCTGACTCCATGTACTTTTTGCACCCTGCTTCCATTTTTTCAAATACCTTATTTTGTTGTTGTTGAGAATATACACAATAGAACCATTTCAACAATTTCAACAACACAATGCAGTGACACTGATTACATTCTTCGACTTGTGCAACCATTCTCACTCTCCTTTTCTGAGTTGTTTCTCCTCCATTAACATAAACTCACTGCCCCCGAAATTTCTTATCTAATCTTACAAGTTGCTGTTGTCATTTGATCTCATAAAGAAATCTTAAAAAGAGCACAATGTTCAAGGCAGACATTCTTTATCAGTTATGCTAAACTAGTATTTGGTTTTAAGAAGACTTCAGGGGATATTTCGGTTTAAGGTTTAAAGATTATCTCAGGGCAACAGTTTCAGGGATTCACCCAGCCTCCACGACTTCAGAAAATTTGGATTCCAATGCTGACTTTTCCACTTTTGATCAGGATTCTTCTATAAAATCTTTGATCACTGCCCCTTTGGTCTCATATGGTTGGCTGTTCTAAAGAACATGCATCTCCCTGGTGCTACTGTTCACTTTTCAGGTCTACTGTTTGGATGAAAGTTGAGCCACAAGGGTGAGTTCAGTTCCAGGTCCCAAAGATGTCTAAGGGCTATACTCTCAGGGGTTCTACCAGTCTCTATCAGCCTATCTCTATGAGCCTGGTGGGTTTTTATTATTATTATTGAGTTTTGTCCCACATTTTTCTCCCACTCTATCCAGGACCTCCTACTGAGATCCCTTTGAGAATGGTGAGCAGCGATAGCTGGGTACCATGTAGTTCTTCTGGTCTCAGCGTCATAGAAGTTTGGATTCATGTAATCCATTAGTCCTTTGGACTAACTGCATGCATCTTTAATTTTCTTTACTCTTCTTTGCTCTGGACAGAGAGAGATCAATAGTTTCACCTTTGATGGCTATTCATTTGCCTGTTCTTAATCTATTTATACAAGTGAGGTCATACAGTATTTGTCCTTTTGTGATTGACTTATTTCACTCGGCATAATGTCTTCCACCTCCTGCCGTGCTATGAAGACTTCATTTCTCTTACTGGGTGGTAGTTTTCTATTATATGTATATACCATATTTTCTTTATCTATTCATCCATTGATGGGCATGTAGGTTAGTTCTACTTTTTGGTTATTATGCTGCAATGAACATAGGTATAGAAGTATCTGAGTCTCTGCTTTCAAGTCTTTTGGGTATATTCCTAGGAGTGGAACTGCTGGGTTATATGGTAGTTCTATTTTACATTTTTGAGGAACCACCACACTGTTTTCCACAATGGCTATACTATTTATACATTCCCACTAGCAATGAATAAAGGTTCCAATTTCCCCATATCCTCTCCAACATTTGTTATTTTCTGGGGTTTTTGTTGTTGTTGCTGTTTTTCTTTTTTAAAATCTTAGTCATCTTACCATTACTGTCAAGTTGATTCCTATTCATAAGGCAGAAGAGATCTGCCCCATTGGGTTTCCAAGGCCATAATCTTTACAAAAGCACACTGCTACATCTTTCTTCTACAGACTGGCTGGCGGGATCAAACTGCCAATCTTTGAGTAAGCAGCCGCTCAAGAGCTTAAGCTTTGCCACCAGGGTCCTCTTTAACCATCCTCACTCACTGTCACGAAGTCGATTTCGACTCATAGTGACCCCTCCTTAGGTTTCCAAGGCAGTATCACTATGGAAGTAGATTGTCCCATTTTCCTTCTGAGGAATGGCTAGTGGGTTTGAACCACCAGCCTTCCAGTTAGCAGTCAAATGCCTTAGGCACTATGCCACCAGAGCTCCCTTAGCCATCCTGTTGTTGTTATGTGCCGTCGAGTCGGCCCCGACTCATAGAGACCCCTCCTTGGGTTTCCGAGGCAGTATCACTACGGAAGTAGGACTGCCCAACCTTCCTTCTGAGGAGTGGCTGGTGGGTTTGAACCGCCAGCCTCCTGGTTAGCAGTCAAGTGCCTTAGGCACTATGCTACCAGAGCTCCTTTAGCCATCCTAGTGGGAGTGAAATGGTATTTCATTGTGGATTTGACTTGCATCTCTCTGATGGCTAATTACACTGAGTATCTTCTTGTGTATTTGGTCCTGGCTCCATGTTTTATTCCCCTATAATCTAATCCAAGAAGCTCTGGTTGCGTAGTGGATAGGGCATTTGGCTGCTAACCAGAAGGTCAGTGGTTTAAACCCACCAGCTGCTCCATGGAAGGAAGATGGGACAATCTAATTCCATAAAGATTCATAGCTTCAGAAACCCAATGGGGGTTGCTGTGAGTTGGATTCGACTCAATGACAGTGAATTTGGTTATTTTTTTGGTATCATCTAACCAATATAGCATCCCAATGACCTTTTTTTTTTTTTTTAATTAGGATTTGGGTGAAGATTTACAGAGTAAATTCACTTTTCATACAGCAGTTCACATATACTTTGTCTCATGTCATTACCAAAATTTCCCAATGATCTTTTAAAAACATAAACTGGATCTTGTCACTATCCTACTTCAATAATTAACAATAATAACAGTCAGTATTTACAGGCCACTTACCATATGCCAAGTACTATTCTAAGCATTTTACATGTATTAAATCATTCAATACAAGTATGAGGTAAGTACTATTATTACCCCCATTTTACTTATGAGAAAACTATGTCAAAAAACATTAATTTGCCAAGGCTGCAAAGCAGCACTGGGATTGGAGACAAGGCATTTTGGCTCCAGAGTCCATCTCTTAGCCATTATGAAGTATTTTCTCTACTTTTTTTCAATCCCTTTCTAGTATCATTTAAAGTAAAAACCAAATTCCTTACCATGGTCTAGCCTACCAGCCATGTCTTCTTCACTAAACTCCTTACTTTGGGCTGTCTGGTCCTTCATAATCTAGTAAGCATCTGTATCTTAACTCCCATTTTGTATCTGTCTCCCCGCTCACACTGGCTTCGTTCCTGTTCCTCAAAAATACCAAGATCTTTCCAATCTATATTAGGATTCTTTGTTTGCAAACAACAATATCTAGGTTAACTTAGGCTAAAACTTAGGCTAAAAAATGCAACTTAGAAGATAATCAAGTAGTTCACAGAAGCGGAAAGAAGCTGGAGAACCAGGCATGGGAACAGAACAGTCTGAAACAACTAGGCAGGAAAACCCAACTGTACCACTGGGACACTGCCTCAGGAGCCCACTGTCACTAAGATGAAGTCATGAATTCCAACCAGTTGTTTGTTACAAAGTTGGAAGACAGAATGTATACTGAACAACTCCATTCACCCTTCCCCCAAAAAAAGCAAAAAAAAAAAAAGTTTTTTGCACATGGTATAGCTACCTGCTATTTTCTCTAGCCCCTTCTCTTCCTTCAGCTATCACTCAAATATCACCTCCTTATAGAAGATTCCCTAACCATTCTCTCTGAAGTAGCCCTTCACTACCACTCAAACCAATTACTCACATATCACTTTGCTCAATTCCTTTATGACACTTTTCAGAATGATTTTCTCATTTGTTTACTTGTTTATTATCTGCCCTCCTTCACACAGAAAAGATAATAGGCTCCACAAAGACTGAGTCTATGTTCATTTGATCATCAAAGATGAACAAACAATAGTAGATCATAGGTACATTTCCTAGCCTGTAATTGTTTCATTTACAAGTTTACTTCTTACTGCCTGTCTTCCCAACTACAAAGTCTTGCTCTATGAAGACAGAGAGTGTATCTGTATTATATCTCCATAGCCAAACATAATACTTGGCACCAAGTCAGTACTCAAATGTCTATTGAAGGACAGAAGGAATAAAATGGCATTTCTAAAAGAAATTCTCTTTAGAAAAACGATCCTAATCTAGCACAGCAAAGGTAAGATATTTCTATAGTTAAATTCTCTAGTCTTCCTTCTAAAACATGATCAGGAAATAACTTTTTTACTTTGTCATGTCTTTGCAAGCTAAAGAAAAAAGAAGCTTTGAAAGCTTTTAGAGGAGAAATATGGTGATCTGAAATAGGGAAACACATTTAAAAATAATGTTAAGGGTAACATCAAGCCCAGACATACACATACTTCCTTAAAAAAAAAAAAAAAGAAAGAAAGCAAGCACTATAACCGAGTCAGATCTGACTCACAGCATCCCCTCCTTGGGTTTCCAAGGCAGTATCACGGAAGCAGATTGCTCAACCTTCCCTCTGAGGAATGGCTGGTGGGTTTGAACTGCCAGCCTTCTGCTTAGCAGTCAAATGACCAGAGATCCTCATATTTCCTTAAGTATAGATAAAAAACCAAAAACCAAACTCATTGCCATCGAGTCAATTCTGATTCATAGGAACCCCCTTTGGGTTTCCAAGGTGGTAAATCTTTATGGAAGGAGATTGTCCAGTCTTCCTTCCACAAAATGGCTGCTGGGACTGAACCACCAACCTTCTGGTTAGCAGTCAAATGCCTTAGGCACTATGCCACCAGATAGGAGTTAGCAAAATACTGAACATGATTTATGATCGAAGAGCAACTGACACTGACATCCATATGTTAAACTTCCCTCCATTAAAGTTTTAGTACATTTACTATAAACCAAAAAACCAACTCACTGCCCTCAAGTCAAGTCAATTCGACTCACCAGCACTCCTATACTTACTATAGCATAATCTTATCTCTGGGAGCTCTGGTGACATAGTGTCTAAGGCATTTGACTGCTAACCAGAAGGCTGGCAGTTCAAACCCACCAGGCACTCCTCAGAAGGAAGATCTACTTCCATAGTGATACTGTCTCAGAAACCCAATGAGGGGTCACTATGAGTCGAATCTGACTCGAGGACAGTGAGGTTTTTTTCTTCCTTAAATCTTATCTCTACCATCATATGCCATGTAAGGATTTAGTTCTCAGTCGGGTCTCTCACTTTACTATATAAAAAAAGAAAAAATCCACTGAGTTGAACCAAACATGAAATCCTTCTTACCAAGTGCTCTTGCTACTGCCAGAAAGGGGATCTGGTCAATAACTGTGCTCCTTCTCACAGGTCCATTGTGAGTGAGTCGAGGCCGTTTCCAAACTACACGATTCACTCCAGACTTGTTCATCACACTAAAAAATAAATAAAAGAGTTCATATAAACACTCTAAATAAATAACATATAACAACTAAGCTAGCTCGATGCATTAAATGACTAATAACTAGAATATATTTTGACAAGATAATGACTTATGTAACAACAACGACTTATCTGCTTCAGATACAAAGATGTATAATGCAAAATTCCTGTTCCTGGGGAAAGACAAAATAGAGTTTATTAGATGGGGAAAATGTGAAGATTATTGTAGTAGGCTAGACAGAACAAACGGAAATAATGAGGGAGGGGAAAGAGTGGACATCATATCATAGAAGAAAGCAAGAGGATGTAACTTAATTTAACTTAATAAGTTAAAAAAAAAAAAAGAACTAGAAAGAGGAAGAATAGCTTATGCAGAGAGAGATTAAATAATCATGAAAAGCTTATGCAGTTTTGAGTGTTTTTGTTGAGGAAGTGCACAGAAGCACTTTAGTTTTAATGTTTTCGATTTAAGGAATTAATAGGAAATACCACAATAAAAATAACTATGCATTTAGGTATTTCTATTACTAAAAATTTCCAACTAAACTTTTGGGAAACAGACCATCTATACAGACTGAGAGTAAGAATACTATTAAAGCCCCTAAAAAAGTATGCATCTTTTACCATATATCTGGATTAAGAAGGTCTGAACATAGTAGAATTTAACACTTGAGGTTTTGAAAGGAATAGAATTAAAAAAAAAAGAAGAAGAATAGCTGATAAAAGGAAGAACATACGGAAGCATCAAGCACAAGCCAAGGAAAGATCATTGGGAGAAAAAAAAAAAAAGAAAGAAATTAGCAGCAGAGAATGAAGCCAAGGAAAAGTTCACTGAATATGATAATCAGATTATATTGGCTGCCTTCACAACTAGTTCTAGTAGAGACAAAAACAAAAGCAGATGACCTCAGGCTGGATGACCTCAGGTTAGAGAACAATGCCTAATGAAGAAATAAAAATAGTAAATACAGAACCTACCTAAAAATTTGGCAGACAGTCAAGGGGCAACAGAAAAAAAATAAGTAATTAGTACCCAGAGGTTATCAGTACACTTGGAAATATGGTTAATTCTCTAGGCAAAACAAGTAAAATCACAAAACAGAGGTCTTTCAACCTATGCCTGTTGTTTGTTACCATGAAGCCAATGCCAACTCAAGGCAACCCCATGTGTCAGAAGAGAACTGACAGATATTCAAGGCTGTGACCTTTTAGAAACAAACTGCCAGACCCGTCTTCTGATATATCTCTGAAATGGGTTCAAAGGCCAACCTTTCACTTACTACCTGAGTACAAAACTGTTTGAGCTACCCAGGGACTCCTAACCTATGCCTGGCATGAATGAAATGGTACTAACATGAAAGAAAACTGACCCTTAAATCAATTTAATCCTTATCTGACTAAATTAAAAAAAAAAAAAAAAAAAAAGCCACCAGAGGGAGAATGTTTCTCTGGAAGAATGGTAAAGTTGGGAAAAAAAATGGCAAAGAGCATTTCCAAGAAACAGTATTATCCTTCTAAATACTGAGTCCACCGAACAAGTATACACATATGTGGAAGTTGATTCCCAAGTCTCTCAAAGACAGATGACATTTAAGACCATTTAATTATACCCCGCAACTCAGGTTCTATGTGCACCCAGAAACCCGCTGATTATAATCTGAATTTTCATGTAGCCTACAGGATGAAGTTAATAACGCAGAATAGCTAACAGTGATACGTCACTTCTTGTCACTTATTTTTCTTACTACTAATGAGCAATATGACATCCTGATTTATACGTAAGTCTCTTGTTAGTTTACTATGTTGAGTCTGAGTAGCAAAACTTGATGAACTGAAAATGTACCTTCACTGAAACTAAACTGACTTCAAGATGTGGAAAGCTTAAGACAGGACAGACAACTGTGACTACCTCCAAAGGAATGAAAATGCCTTATACCTATGCAGTAAATAGCCAGTTAACCTCTAGCTCATCTATGGCTTCTCTCTACTTTAAATTCAAATGAATGAAGATGGTAGAGAAAGAAGAGATAAATGAAATAAAGGGACACAAAATAAAGGAATAAACCTTATAAATAAGAGATCATCAATTTTCCTCCGAGCCAAGAAAAATTTGAATATAGTAGAAGGGGAACAGCCTCAATCTTCGTTCTAAAGTAGAAGAAGACAAGTTCACCTGACTAGGGCAATCGAGATTTGCCAAATAAAACTTTCTGAAGTGACAGAAATGTTCAGTGTGTTATCCAACATGGTAAGCATTAGAAACGTCAAGTCATTTAAGACTGCAAGTGTGGTTACTGTGAATGAGAAATTAAAATTTTATATTTCATTTTAATTAATTTATATTTATTTAATCACCCACATGTGATTAATGGCTACAGTAGCACTAATCATAGGATTAAAGCAACTACAAAACGATTAAAAAAAAAACCACTGATGTTAATGTAGAATAGAAATTAAAGAGAGTCACTCATTTTACCATCCCTTTTAAAAACTGGTTTAATGACTGCCACTCACGAGAATCTATGACACACACAGGGAGAGGGATGCAGGGTAGGAAGGGGAGGAGACTGGGTTAGGGTTGGACATGGCGAATGGAGAATGAAACTAAATGTATATGTGATGTTGAATGTAAAACAAGCTCTTAAAATAAAAACAAAAGAATCTATGACACACAAGAGCTGCAATGAGAAGGATGCCAACAATATTCTGCCTTTATACCATCTTAAACCCTACTGTTCTTTCCTAAAACTTCTCACCAACAAAATAAGGCTTAATAATTAAAGGAACTACCCAAACTTCTTCCAATATAACTATACTGAAATTCTCTTGAAAATACTAAAGATATTATGATCTCTTGGTCTCTGAAGAACAAAAGACATGTAATAGTACTTAATTAAAATATAAAGTTTTAAATCCAGTATCGAAAACCCAAAACGATCTTTATTATAGTAGATGCTGCTTTCATTGTACTACCTGCTGTTGTCCTGTATGACTAAAAGGCATACAAAAAGGAATAATCTGTTATGCAGAGATCTAAGAAGCAAAGAAGGCTGGAAAAACAGAATTCTGGCCAGTTGCCCAGGGTGAGACAGAGGAAAAGGAGGAAGCAACTTAAAATAAAACAGTTCAATATGTACAAAACACACCTGGTTCCCAAATGGGAAGGAGTACCTGTCCAAATGTCCAGATGGCTTTTTAAGTGATAAGGCAAAGAACAAAACTCTAAATAAAGCGGGGGGATTAAAATTTAATAAATTTTCATCAAAGAAAACATAATTCTAGATTATAAGTACAAAAATAGGTAAGAACTACCATGACGAAAATATATGCATAAAAGAAAATTAATGGCAAAAGATCAGATCTATTAATAATAAAACATAAAGCCTCAATTACAAGAATATATATGGTACTGGGGAAAAAAATAGAAAACCCAGAAAAAGACTTATATATGTGGGAATTTATAAAGCCCACATTGCAAGACTACCAGCAGTGCTCTCACTGTGAGCATGAAGACTGACCTTCACACTCATAGGAGCAAACAGACCATAGCCTGAAACCAAGTTCAATTAGCTTTGGAGATGGATACAAGACAGGAAATATAGGATGGCAGCTTTAGGCACGCTGTCTTCAGCACATATGCTTACAGAAATCCAGGAGTTATCTTCTAGTCCCCCAGCTATAAGTAAACAAGCTCACATGGTGAGATACAGAACAATCTCGCTTAGGAAAGTTTCATGTGCCAAAGGAATCAGTATCTTTTTGAAAACAGTCAATGATTATAGCTTCTTGGTCTCTGCACCCAGTCAAACTGCATGCACGTAAGGCAGCTGAGGCCTGTCCCTCCCAAAAGAAAGTTATATTCCATTCAAAATCATCTCTATCAGAGGCAGTTCCAGTCAAGGGTCATTCTTACAATAAGAAATATTGCTTTATTACAGAGTTGACACTCCATATTTATCTTAACCACAGAAACAGTGCTAGGAGAAGGTAAACTCAAGATCATCTTCTCATAAAAAAGGGTTTCAAAACTGGTAAAAACCTTTCTAATCATTAAGGGACAGATGTATAATTGTTCACATGGCCACTGATGGTCATCCAGAAAGAAATATTAAGTTGTATCCCCACTATAGGCCTTAGATTTTAAAATTTCTACTGCTGGTAGAGGTGTTAATTGACACAACCTCTATGGTAACAAATAGTCATCAATTTCCAAAACACTTTTCTTTGATCCAGCAACTGCTTCTCCTTCATTATATAGCACTGTTTGAAATAACAAAGGATTAGAATTAAGTATCTTTCAATGTGACACGAGTTAAATAATGATGGTACCTCTATATATTTGATTGTATATCAATGTCTCCCTACCTAAGGATACTCAGGTAACATTGGTATCCTGTGTATGGAGGGAAACCAGGTAGCCTGTGGGATAGTGGTGGTTGAGAGATACATATTTAAAAAATTTCATCATCAAGAATATTGTTAAATGGTCCTATAAGTTTATGTGATGATCAGAATTCCCAGGTGTATAGTAGAGCTGACAAGGGGCAATGTTGTGGTCACTGCTTGGTCACAGCCAGCTACCCAGAGGGACCGAGTAGTTGAACCTGTGGGCTTGGGACCATAGTCACAGGGGACATCAAGCTCAATTGGCATAACATACTATACAAAACACCGTTCTACCTCTTACTCTGGTGAGTAGCGACTGGGATCTTAAAAGCTAGCAAGCTGCATCTAGATGCAATGATGGGTCTCTCTTCGTCTAGAGCAAAGAAGAATGAAGAAAACCAAAATTCATGGAAACAATTAGTCCTAATGACTGGTATACCATCTGATCTACAGCCTATACAACTATGAGACCAGAAGAACTAGATGGTGCCCAGCTACCCCTGTCATCCACGTGGAAGGAGATCTATCGAGGAGATCCTTGATAGAGAGGGAGAACAATGTGGAACAAAACTCAAAATCATTTGGAGAAAAAAAAAGGGGGGGGGGACCAGGTTTGCTGGTCCAATAGAGCCTGGTGGAACCACTGAGACTATGGCCCCTAGCTGCCCTTCAGGTCTGGAATTGAACCTACACCTGTGGTTTCCAGCCAAACAAAAGACAGGCATATGAGTTGAACATTTACCTTAGGTAGATACACTCCTTGGAGAGAACAATCATGGGAGAAAGAAGGGCTGTTTATGCACAGGGAGACAGCTCAGGGGGCAGGAGTGCATGGAGGGATGGATACTGGGAAGAGGTAACTATGGGGAGGAAGTGGGAGGGGAGCTGTTGCATTGTGGTAAACTGTGGTCAATGTCATGAGACAAAGTGTATGTGAACTGCTGTATGGAAAGTGAATTTGCTCTGTAAATCTTCACCCAAATCACAATTAAAAAAAAAAGAAAAAAAAAAAACCTTGTTAATATTTGGTGTATTTCTATCCTTGTCTTATTTTTCCACATATAGAGATACTAAAACTCACTGCCATCGAGTTGTTTCCAACTTATAGCAACTAATTGGCACCAAGGGTTTCCAAGGCTATAATCTTTATAGGAGGATACTGTCACATCTTTCTCCCACAGAGCAACTGGTGGGTTCAAACCACTGATCTTTTGGTTATAGTGGGGTATTTAACTGCTACACTCTTTGCATAGTGAGATAGCACTACAAATGTAATTGTATTTCCTGATTTTCTGTCACCAAAGCATTTTTCTGTATCATTAAAAATTCCCCAAAGTATATGGGAGTTAGTTCATTATACTCTTCCATCTATCTGTATTTGAAAACTTGAAACACCATGATTTAAAAATATTTTTTTAATCCATAAACATATTTAGTGTTATGAATATGTATTGCTAATATACTTAATCATTCTCCAGTTGTTGGGCCTTCAAGTTATTTCCAGCCTCTCAAGTGATCAAATAATGCTACAATCAGATATTTTTGTTCACCCTTTGTACTTCTTCTATATTCCTGAAATTACTGAGTCTTTAAACATTTTAGGCTATTGGTATATATTATATTCTGTATACCAAACCAAACCAAACTCACTGCCATTGAGTCGATTCTGACTCATAGCAACCCCTACTGGGTTTCTGAGGCTACAAATCTTTATAGAAGTAGATTGCCCCATCTTCCTTCTGCAAATCAGCTGGTAGGTTTAAACTGCTGACCTTCTAGTTAGCAGCCAAATGCCTTATCCACTATGCCATCAGAGCTCCTTTATACTTTACATAGGTCATACCAATTTATAATCATACCAACAGCATGTGATAGTTATAATCATATTAACAGTATGTCAAGGTACCCACTCAACAAAAGACTAAGGAATATCTCTTTGGTCTTTTAATCTTTGCTAATGCAATAGTAAAAAATAGAGTTCATTTCAATAATAGTGAACATTTTTTCAAACGTTCACTACTCTTTTCACATGTTTTTTGTACAAAGTTCCTTATCCTATTTTAATGGCAGAATTTTAGTGGTTTGTTTGTTTTTTTTTTTTCCTCCCTTGATTTGTTGCACTCCTTATAGTTTCAGGAAATTAATTCTTTTTTCTCAGTTTGTAGTTTCTTTGAAAAAGACTAATATTTATCAAATAAAGGCAAGAAAGAAGACATAAGCCCCATGGCTCAATTTTCACCCAAACAATAACAGGTCTATAAGGTGAAAAGTAACACTACCGGAGGAATGCACTTCTTAGAACAATCAACTATTCGAGATCAAAAGGGCACCATTTGTCCAAGGATAAAAGTTCAAAAGGCAGGAAGGGTTAGGAAAGTAGTAGTAGGAGAAACGAGAAACAAAGGGAAGGAGGAGGATGAGTGATGTTATATTGAGGGTACTGAAATCAATGGTATTAAACAAAATGTGTATGAATTGTTGGTGGAAGACTGATTTGCTCTGCAAACTTTCACCCAAATCACAATAGAAACTTAAAAAAAAGAAATAGAAGATACAAGTAATAGTATCATGGTAAGGCTTTAGTTAGAACAATTATTCAGAAAATACTGGACTCATTTAACTTGCCTCAAACCTTCAATTTTAAAAGATCAGCATTAATTTTTAACTTTTCTCATGTTTTTCATTCCCTTGATTTCTAGCATAATCTTAGGTTTTAATGCAGATGATAAAAATATTATGTTGAAATCAATTTCAGGTTCTAGTTTGCAAACGACATACATTGAGATACACGCTTCTTCTCACTTATCGACATGATTAGGTTCCAAAGACTAGATTGTTCTGCAAAAATCAGTGTTAAATGAAAATGGAGAATGACTACATTGACAAAGTACATGATTACCAAACCAGTGCCAAACCACTGAGAATCATGGTCTGCCAAGGTGACATATAACCTTAACCATTGCAGACAGCATTACTCTCGCCTTGTGCCTTGGCATTCATTACTGCCAGTCATACATCATTAATGTGCAAGAAAGTCAGATAACAGATTTTTTACTATTGTCATAAATGTGAAACATCTGAAAACAAGATAGTCGATAAACAAGGAGAGAGTGTACTAAGTTGAAATAAAGAAAAGGAAACAACAGGAAAGGTTTACAGTAAATTTGACTTAGAAATCAAAGGAAAAAGCTTAAAGTTAATTTTGATTTAACTCTTTCCTCAAAGCCAGGTTGAACTCTTGTATTCTAGAACTACAAGTGCTATTCAGCCCAGATTCTAAAGATCATGCTGATCAATATTTGTATAGTTCCAATAAGTCCTTATATGTACTGTTACTTGAGGCTCACTAAAATGTTACTTCGCTGTGGAGCCATTATCAGAAATACAACAGTCAATTAAAAATAATGAGATAAATATGAATGTACCCATAATACTGAGAAAAGTAACTGCATTAAAAGGGTATAGAATAGGTTACTCTTGTTTGAAAAACAAAAATGGACTAAATAGAACCAGTTGAGGAAAGATAAAACAGCACAACGATTACCTCCCACCAAGTCCTTCGATTCGTTCTCTTTCCTTGGGAAGTTCTGGCTTATGGTCCTGTGTCACCTCCACAGCTCTGACAAAATCATCCTTTGGGTCATCCTGAACACCAAGCACCACCCCTGAGTCACCCACGTGAGCTACATACATCTTCATGCCCCGTATGATGACCACACTGGCAGTTGTCCCTGAAGTGCTGGGAAGACCTGTCATAGTCCTGGGCCATTCTGCTGTAATAAGAAATAAAATACTTTATTTTTCCAGGTACAAACACGAATACTGTGTCAGAAAACAAATGGTAATATATGCCAAATTAGTATGCTAAAATTTAAACATAGGAAAAAAATTTTAAAAACTATTTTGAAAGCTATTCAAAAAGGGTTTGTGTTAATCCATTTATCAATATATTAATATTTAATTTCATAAATAATATAATTATAATTATCTAATCAATCCTAAAATGAAAATAGTCTAGGCGAGATTTATACATAACTCTTAGTTCTGCATTTAGTGGGAAGGATGTATTAACAGCTTTGATACCATACAGCCAGAAAAAGCTACTTTATTTTTGAAGTAACTATTCTGAATATTTATCACCTAACAAAGGACTAACCTCTGTGCTAAGCATAACATCAATTATCTTAAATAATACTGTAGCAAGCCTACGCAAAAGATTAGTCCCTTTATTTTCATTTTACAGATAAGGAAATCAGTATTTTGAATGGTTAAGAAACTTGCCCAAAACAACTCAAATATTAAGTAGCAAAGCCCTCGTGTTTTTAAATTCAAAACCTTTATTGCCTAATTAAATTCACTGTAATTCAACAATTCTGAAATGTTCTCTAATACTAAAAAACTGTAACTTATAGTTCAAGATTATAGACTGAGGCCAAGCACTGACATATTTAGTCTTCCCATGAAAATCCCACTGAAAAGACAGAATATAAATATTAGAAAAAGTTCACAGCAGTCATGAAATACTTGAAAATTCCTGGAAGTGGGAATATGTTAAAGGAAAAATAAGAATTTGAACATGTAATTCAACATAAGTAAAAGCAGCAGCCAACAGAGAAGGCAATAGATTGGTTTTCCTTGTTAAGAGTACCAGAAAAACCTAAGCCCAGAGGCAATGGCAAAAGCTGAGGGCAGTAATAGATGGAATAAGGTTGGCAGATTAATTTAAAAACTTCAGGAATGAGGTCAGTGCCTAAGCTCTCTGCATATTAAGGTGAGACATTTTAGTCCATAAACTGCAACTAACTGTAATACCTCTCTTCAAAGGAAAGTAGTAGATCTGTTGATAGGGATAGCAGTGTCTCAACAGGGGAGGGTGGAAGGTCTAGACTTAAAAATATTGGGCAGAGTGCCAGGCAACTTCATATTCATAAGGAATGACAAACACTGTAGAAGCGTTCTCTATTATATCCAGTCTAAGTAATTCTTACCGTTTTTCAATGTTATATACTCTGAAAAGACATCTCCCAAAGCCTTCAGAAAAGTATACCTTTCTGTCTTGACCCACAAATAGAACCCATCCACAGAGTACCCTGTCTCTCACAGCAGAGACCTGTTTGGGGTATATGAAATAATAATCTTACATATACTTAGGGAAAATCAAAACAGCTACCAATATTGATCAAGCTAGAAATTCACTTATATATCTCTCCAAGAATCATCATTTAATATAAGGATAAATGTAAAGGCACTGCAACAGAACCTTGAATATATACTAAGGGCTCAATTAATGTTAGTTAATTCTTGCTGCTGTTCTGCCATTATTTAAGAAAAGCAAACAGTTTGAGAAGCATCAAGAGAAACATGCAAAGGGAAAATGACCCCAAAAACATTTTGGGGAAATATCAAAAGAATCTATAGATAAATTGTTGGCATTGATAACAAATTTCAGCAGTGTTGCTACATACAAACATTGTTTACATTAAAAAAATAAACTATTTCTATACACCAGTAACAAAAACATGTAACTTTTTTTTAAAAAAGATACCATTCTCAAGAGCAATAAAAGGTATATACCTGGGAACAACAGTAACAAATCTCTAATAAGACTTTTACGGAAAAATTATAAAACTTTATTAAGACAATAAAGACAAATGTAGACTGACAGAACAGAATAATGAGCACAGAAACAGATCCATGCGTAGTTAGACATTTGATATATATGAACACTGGACAAAGGACAAAGCTTCAATAAATGGCACTGGAATAAAATAGGGGGGGAGAAAAAAAAAGCCTGAGTCCCTGATACTAAACACAAAAATCAATTTGAGATAAAGAAAGATCCACTGTAAGAAGCAAAGTGAGCACAATTAAAAAACAATAAAGTAAGGTACATACATGACTTCAGAAAAGGGAATGATTTCTTAAAGACCCAAAATGTACTAGCCATATGAAGAAAATGACTGTGAAGTTGTACCACCATCAAAACAAAAAATTTCTTTTCATCAAAAGATACCATTACTAGATGGAACAAAACTCAAAATCATAAAGACCAGGCTTACTGGTCTGATAAAACCTGGTGTGACCCCCAAAACTATGGCCCCTAGTTACCCTTCAGTTCTGGAACTGAACTCACTCCCCTGGCTTCCAGCCTAACAACAGACAGGCATATAGGGTGAACATTTACATCAGGTAGATACACTCCTTAGAATGATCAATCATGGCAGAAAAGAAGGACAGTATTTGCAAAGGGGCAGGAATGCACAGGAAAGGATACAGGAAAGAGGTAACTATAGGGAGGAAATTGGAACAGAGCTGTTACACTTTGGGGAATTGCAGTTAACGTTATGTGTATGAACTGCTGTATGGAAAACAAATTTGCTCTGTAAACTTTCACCCAAATCACAATAAAAAAATTTTTAAAAAATACTATTACTAGAGTGAAAAGACAACTCACAGAATCAAAGAAGATATAACTGTAATATATAAAATATACATACCAAAGGACTAGTATCCAGAATATACAAAATACTCATACAAAACAAATTAGTAAGACAGAAAAATGTTATGGAGAAAAACAGACGAAAGGTTTGAGCAGGACTTTCACAAAAGAGAATCTAAACTGCCACAAACCATGCAAAAAGTATTTGACTTCTTTAATCATCAGAGAAATACTAATCAAAAATCACAATGAGATACCACTACATAATTACCAGATTCCATAAATTAAAATCTAACAACAGCAAGTGTGGTTAAAGATTTAGACCAACATACACTATCATAAACTACTGCTTAGAGTGCCAATTGGTTTAACCACTTCAGAAAACATTTAAGCATGATCTATTAAATGGAGCTCTGGTAGCATAGTGCCTAAGGCATGTGATGTGACTGCTAACCAGAAAGCTGGCTGTTCAAACCCACCAGCCACTACTCAGAAGGAAGACTGAGCAATCTACTTCCATAGAGATATCACCTCGGAAACCCAAGGAGGGGTCATTATGAGTCGGATTCAACTTGATGGTAGTGAGTTTGTTTTTTTGTTTTGTTTTGTTTTGTTATTAAAGGTGAAGACACATATATCCTACACCTTTTCACTACCTGTAGGAATGTATATGCCATACCCTGTACAGAATATTCATAGCAGCACTGTTCATGATGGCTAAAAACTGGCAATAGCCATAATGTCCTTTAACAAGAGAACAGATTACACTACATATAATGTGTAAGAGTCTCATAAGTATGAGATAAAATATATACAGCATGATTTTCTTCAAAAAACTGTCATGTTTACAGATAAGGAGCCCTGGTGGCACAGTGGTTAAACCGCTCAGCTAACAGAAAGGTTGGCAATTTGAACCCACCAGCCACTTGTGGAAGAAAAATGGGGCTCTCTGCTTCTGTGAAGATTTACAGCCTTGGAAACCTTATGGGGAATTGTATACTGTCCCATAGGGTCACCATGAGTTGGAAAAGACTTGACAGCAATTTACAGATATGGGGTGGTAAACTGTTTAGAAGAATATGGAAATTACTACAGAATTATCATTACAAAAGACAAGATGGTAGTTACCCCTTGGAGTAGAAATATACTATCAGAGAGACATATAGGGGGCCCTGGGGGTACAAGCAATGTTCTTTCTTAACGTGGATGATGTTCACTTTATAATTATTCATAAAGCATATACTTATGTTTAATGATCTTTACCATATTTTTACTATATTTCACAATTTTTTAAAAGATTTAAAAAAAAAAAAAGGAGGGCATGAATTTTGCTGCCCTTTGATTGCAGAAGAGACACTGCTCCCTAGGCCAGCGAGTTCTGCAGCATGGTTATAGAGGTCATTCTTAGAAACTCAGCCTAGAGTATATAGTACGCTTCTTCTGTTCTTTCAATTATTTGGGGGTTAACCATAGCTCTTCATAAAACGCTTTTCTACTTAAGCAAGTTGGAACAGATTGTTTTCTGCAGCTAAGAAATCTATAATCTATTTATCTTATTATCTTAAATCTATTATCTTATTTACAATAAATGAAAATAAGGTGAACTCCAAGAAAGAAGGGCTCTTAAGCACATTCCAAAAACAAAACTTATCTTCAGTATACAAGTAATTCAACTATTTACAAAAGTATCGAAAAACAAAATTATTAAAAAAAAAAAAAAAAAAGGAACCTGGAAATAGAAGTATATTCAAAGACATGTTATTAATACTGTTTGAATCACAGGTTTGGTCAAAAGTATTAAAATGTACAGAGAGATAATTGGCAATGATATACAAATACCAAATAATCCATGCTTTCCCTAATTCATTTGAAATGTCACTTTTATCATATACTACATTTTACCTCAGATCTATTTCTGGACTTATCTTACTAATCTATATATAGTGCTCTTTAATAATTACGAGTTTTTGTATTCCTTAATTATTATTCTTTTAACAGAATTCTCTTAAGTATTTCTGCACATTTTTCATATTCCAAATGAAAATATCCTGATTTTATACAATAATGAATCAACATCTTTAAATATTCAATGTTTTCCTCAATTCCCTTCTACTTTTCATTTTAATCTATTTTATTTAAGTGATGAATGAAAATAAAACTATGAGCATATTAAAAGGCAGTATCAGTATATTTATCACTCTGACTTAGGGAAAGTATTTTTAATTAAGACAATATGCAAACACAACAAAGGCAAAGATTAATAAACTTTACAACCTAAAAATATAAAATGTCTGAATGAAAAATATAAATAAGTATGGAACGTATATGATTTCA